AGTGTCTCCATGTGGTTACAGTGTTGGATGTATTGTCTGTGTCCAGTTGTCTCTGCTAGTAATGGGAGCAGCAATGCAACATTAGAACGACACCGATCCACTTTAGACAACTCTGACAGTAGGTGAATACAACTAGATAGATACAAGTCAGTGTAAAAGGATTAGCTTTTAAAATTTTCATAAAATTTTGACCATAAGCATTGTCGCATACGTGTACATGTACAACACATACAAGTATACCTCCTACATGTATTACCTCTCTCCCTTCCTCTCTCTCTTACCCCTCACTCTTCTCCCATGGCTGGGCTGGTTTATGGAAGTCACTGTGCATGCATCCACCACCACCTCCTCTCCTCTTCATTTTAGGAGCCAGTGAGCCACAAGAATACATCTAACAAACATAAAGTGAGATCAGACGTGGGATCAACTACAATACAATATTATTTTTGATATCACTATAACATAAGTAATAATATTGCTGATGTTATATGTGTCAAGTTTGAGCTGATTCTAATCAAGACTGGGATTTATACTTGTAGAAATTTCAAGTTGCTTCAAAATTTTAGAATGGAACTAAAATGCATGTATTAGGATTCGCTTCTCAAAAAGGCTACATATTAGGATTCTGATTGACTAATGTCCATCATACCAATGACAATCCTACTATTGTAACAAGTGACAGTTCATTTTCTTAAATGTATGGAGTAGAACCTGTGTCACAAGAGAAAAAAAATTCTCCATTTTTATATCTTTCTGATGCACATAAATATTCTTATGTTGCGCAAAAAAATTGAGCCAGTTTTGATTAAAAAGTAAATTCTTAAGTCGCTTAAATATTTGGCTAAATACCAGCTACCATATTATTACGAGTCTTCAAACTAATTACAAAGATTAACAAAGAATGAGTAGGATTGACTCTGTAGTCTCAACACATCCTCACCTGTTGGTTGCTGTGGGTATCCATGTCATTGTCATGGATTCTTTTCACAACTCCAAAAACAGCTGGACCGGATTCTAAACCAGGATGAAGTGGATCACTAGTAGGAAATATCAACAATGACACAACCAGTTTTTAAAAACAAGTCATACCTGCTATCAACTGAAGGCGGTTGTTCAGAAACAAGAGGGAGCCATTCCTTGATGATACTAATGACTTTATCTTCAACTTCAGTACCTGAAATATAATTTATCACTTACTAGTAAAATACAAAAAGTCAACTTTATTCAAATCAAATCCGAGAGCCTCAAATTACAAGTTTCAGACACTATGCCTCAACTTAAAGTGAACTGCTATTGTTACAGAATGGTGAGCGTTGTTCAAAATGTCTTAAAATTACATGTACAATACATACATGTACATGCATGTACAATACATACATGTACATGCATGTACAATGTACATGTACTTATATGAATTGGAAAAGGTCCAATGTGTAACTCAAAAACTAAAATTTATATCCCTCCCCTATCTGGCTCTTTCTTACCATATGTCTTCACTAGGTTGCCAATAGCAACAGCAGCTCCTTGTCTCACAGAGGGTATGCTGTCCTCAAGATTGGCTAAGAATAACGGATATAATTGAGACAAGTACTCATGACACTCGTCAGGAAAACAAGCAATAAAGTTACCACAAGCTAAACAAGCAGCTAATAAGAAGAAGGAGAGAAAAGAAGAGAAATTATAAAATGTGCACTGTATAGTGTCACTCTTGATAGTGTATATAGTGCCAAATTTTTGTTAGAAAAAAATGACAATTTGTTAAAATTTTACTTTACAAAAAAATCCTCACGATTCTACATTTGATAGCATAGCAAAAATTTTATCAAAAATTTTTCCTCAACAAAAATTTGGTGATATAAATTACAATACAAGAATCATTAAGGAAAAATCAATTAAGCTCTTACCATCTCTGACAGGCCAGCTCTCATCATGGAAGCAGTCCAGTAATGCTGTCACTAGTTGACTGACATGAGGCCTCACAGCATCTGGTGATATCTTATTACCTAATTCAGCAATACAAGTACATGCTGCCTCTCTCACTGCATGATTAGACGCTTCACTCTCCTTTATATAGAATGATACCTAATGAGAATAGCATGCATAATATTTTAGTCTAGTCCGGCACAATGCACTAAGAATTTTAAAGCAGCCACACAATCACATATACTGTATAGCATGCCACACATATGAGAGAAGTTTCACACTTTTAGCTGCTAAACTGTGAAAGTAGTACATTAGTTACAGCTATAAGCAAATTTATTCCTACATGTATGGTATATTAATTAATACTGCAGTTATAATTTCTACGTGCACATGTAGTTTACAATGTACCGTATAGTGGGTAAATTTGGAGAGACTAAATTTTGGTGATTGGCGGATTTTAATTTGGTGAATTTGTGGCCATGTGCCACTGAGCATGCGTATAATGGTTCAAAATGGTGGATTTTAATTTTGGCGAATGGCTATCAAAACGCCAAATTTGACAAATTTAATCCCCTCTGAAATTACCCGCTATACGGTACATGTATGTGACTATGTGTACATAGAGGACATACATGTACATGTACATGTACATGTACATGTACAGTACATGCATATGCGGTTTCATAATCAGAAACAATAGACGTGTACTTTTCAACTGAATTTCAATGCTACTATAAATGCTCAGAACTCTAAATCTGATTCAAACTCTTGCATGGCATCAATCAATACATCTCAATAACCTTACCACTTTGTCAATGTTGTTTTCTACCAGTTGTGTTCCTTTCCCCATTGTGACTTGACGCCATGTCTCTTGTGAGTATAACCTTACACCTTCAGCTAT